TTTGTTTTGTCTTATTTTGGTTGTTTTTTGGAAGAAATTGTGTCCATATTTTGCCTTATTTTAAAGTCATTGATAATGGCAATTAATTACCTCTCAGACTTTTTTTCTTGCAGCCTATCTAAGATCTGTGAGTCATACTGAACAACATTTCTATATCATTAATTAATAACCACCCCTCCCCCCCACACATCATCACTCATCATCACACACACACACACAAACACCGATGACAGTAGCGCCAAAGCACACTCAGTAGCTCACAGCTCTCATAGAGACATTTTTTCAGAGCTTCAGGTAAATTATTATATCTTTTTAAGAACCTATTTACACCGACCTCTAAATTGCTTGCATGTCATTTGTCCTTGGTCTTTATTTTATTTTCAGACTTAAGATTGATGTGGAAACTCTTGGATCAAAGCCCACTGGCCTGCTGTGATTAGATCACCGGGTCTGGCCGTTTATGTGGCGCTGCAGGGAGATTCCTATACATGCTGTTGGCCTCTGCTGGCATGCTGACTTCTGCAGAAACCCCGCCGTCACAAGAGCGCACGGTAAAAGGAGATCTTTGACCTTGCAACATACCGGGGAAGAGATGAAAACCTCAGATTTAGATTAAGTGGTAAAACAATTTTGGGTTTTCGGCGTGCATGGCTTTGAATACACTTAAAGGCTCAATCTGACTAGTTGTTACACAATGTCAGTCGTTAAAAAAAAGTCCCGTGTCTGTCGCCTTTACGCGCTGAGCCAGACCTCAGCTTCAAAATAATCCCCAGTGCGCGGCTGCGGGTGTGATATTTTTATGGTTAACATTAATGGAATTTATGATTGCCATGTGTCAACACACTTGCAGTATCTTAAAATACTGTATTCCGTATAACCTTTGCTGCGTGCGAATGTGCGCGCAAAATCTCCAATCCTGTTAGGTTTGCTGTACAAATGAGCGTGCAACATTAAAAGGGGGGGCTTCATGACTTCGCTACACAAAAATATCAACAAACAGTGTCGTTCCTCAATCTGCATGTCCGGATAGTATGACAATAGAAGCAGAGAAGTAGAAAGAAGAAGGGAGTAAGTGTTGATCTGGTCCCGGTCTAGAGTTTCTGGTGTCAGAACATTATCTGCCCCGTGTCTGCACATTCTCAAGGACAAAACCGCTAGGCAGAGAATCAACCAATGAGACCCAAGGAAGGCGAGTCTAGTTTACATTCTCCCCCTCTCTCTCTCTCTCTTTCTCTCTCTCTCTCTCTCTCTGGACAGCCGCTGCAGCCTGGGGGCATGAGTGCAGCTGGGGTGAACCAGGAGAGAAAGAGAGACAGAGAGAGAGAGAGAGAGAGAGAGATTTACAGTTATGATAATATCACCACAAAAACAACTGTTTTTAGTTATCTACAAGGGACCCCTTTTTCACCTTCTTGTTCAGATGTGATATAAAAGCTGCTGTGTGAGAGTGTGAGTGAGTCAGACACACAAGAAGAGGAAACCAGGCTTGGTGTGTTATGTACAGTATCAGTAGGGTCTGTTATGACTTCAGAACTCAACACACATGTTGAAGCTCAGCTGGACTCAGAAAAAACAGAACAGTAACAAAAATTACAAAACAGTCATTTCTATTAAATGTGAAAAGAAAAGCTGTCTGACTGTGAACTGTTTGACAAGAGAGGCTCAAGTTCTATTTACACCTCCTTTATGATAAATCTCTAAAAGCAATAAATTAATATTGGACCATTATTATTATTGACGATCTGATTTATAAATCACTGCACGGAAACTGACCCACTAAGGTGCATTTGTGTAACGTTTTGTTGCATCATCACTGACTCTTATGAATTAAATGTGCACAAATAGAACGCTGCAGAGACGACGTTTCACAGATTTTTAAATTTTACATTTTGTAAAATATAGCATATTTTGTCAGTGATTTGTAGTGCTTCGTAAAGAAATTGACAGCGGGAAATTGTTAGGAGAAAAAAAAAGAAGAAAGGGGAAAGTAGGGAGAAAAAGGCAGAGGGGGAAAGTAGAGGAAAGCATCAGGCTCAGCTCAGCGGAAGAGCCAAGGACACAGTGACCAGGCGTACTGTAATGATTTTAGTCTCCGATCACACATTCACGCCCCCCCACAGAGATCCTATCTGCATTCAGCCTACTCTGCCAGCCTCCAGCTCCTTGTATCAGCAGCAGCAGCAGCAGCGAAGAGACCGGGCACGGCAGCCCCCAAAACCTGGCCTGCTTCTGTTCATCACACTAGACCCCACAGCGTTTTTTTAAGCTCCAGTCAGCTACAGCAGGTCAGCGGCTTTTTAGAAACTCTCCAAGATTAGTCTGAGCCCTGCTGCAGGTATTTCAAAGCTCTGATGTGTGTTGTATTCTGCCTGCTCATACAATCACACCTGAAACACGGTGAACTCATTTGCATCTTGCATAATTTAAAAAAAAAAAGTGTGTGTTTGCTAATTTTACTGTATTTACTCCATTCACACAGCCACATATGGTTATCTTAATTACCACCAGCTTCTATGTGGTTTGAACTCCGTCTGTCTTATCATGTCGATTTAATTACATTCAGATAAAATTCCATTTAGGTATGTTACGCATAAAACACACACACAGACACTTACACTGAGATACACGCAGACATGCACACGCACAAGCAGTCCAGCCCACTGCCACACCAGCGGTCCATTGACTTTCATTGGAAGTGACTTCCCTGCTACTCTAAATCACAATGATTTCCCAGGGAATTAAAGCAGGCTTTTCCCAGGAGACACACACAGACACACAGACACACACACACACACACACACTAGAGAACATTAACCAGTTAGTGGGAAGGTTTTTTAGAGTGTCTGTGAGTGTGTTAGTGTTCACCTACCAATGAAAACACAACGAGAATAAGGGAGGAAAAAAATATGTTGCTCTAATTAGTCTTTGTCTATTTGCGTTTAACTTACTAATGTTGAGTGTTGTCAGACTTTCCAACTATTCACCATATCTCACAGGTGTGTGTGTGTGTTTCAGGCTGGCTGTTGGAACCTCAGTTTTCAGCGCACTGGACCCGAGTCAATGGCAATCAATCTTCACTGTCTTCTTCTCCTCATCTCTCCCTCATCTCGCTCTCCATCCTTCCCTTCATCTTCTCTCTTTCAATCCTCAGCCGAGCCCAGCGCTGTCTGCAGTTCCGATCAAGACGGCATCACTGTGTCTGTTAATTATCTTCAGCCTGTTACACCCCATACACACACCCACAAATACACACAAAAGATGCATACTCTTAAATAATTGTGCACAAATAATCACGTCACTCCTTTGACTTCCAATTTACAAACAGGTGGACATGTATATATTTTCTTATAATATGTGGTCATTACATGCTGACATACACATAGACACACGCATAGGAACATAAACACACACTGACCCATACTTGCATCTAAAGTGTGTGGTTCATAGTTGGTTTTAAATTAAATTTGATGTGGAAAATAACAACTGGCTGAAAATATGACTTCTCTTATAATAAATAGTTGCCCGATGCCTGACAGTAACTCTACAATGATAACTTTTTATAACTGTACGTTCAAGTTATACCGTAATTACATCAACATTTTTGATAATATGTCAAAAGGCTCCATTTCCACATGGTTGCAGACGAGAAGTAGCCGCTGCTTTCCGCTGACCTCGTCCACCGCAGCCTCTGTCTGTGATGAATTTGTACCTTCATGGTCACAACCAGTCAATGGTCTGTATGATGGATACCTATGGCCATGGCCGCAGTGAGTCGATGAAAGTGACCCATGTGTACATCTCTGCTTCCGGGATGTGAAACCCAATTCCGGGTGGGATTGATCCATGTCTGGCCGCTGCGGGGATAAGGCCAGAGGGAGAAGATAAGAGCAGACACCGAGCGGTCAATGATACGTTTGAACCATCAACCTCTAATGCAAACAGGACGCTATGATGTCTCCCCACCTCCGACTTTTAAAGGTGTACAGACTATATTTTATTAGGACACGTGACAGGCACAAGCACTGCTGACTTTCACTTAAAATCAGTGGTGAAGGAAGTATTCAGATCTTCTATACAGAACAATGCAATATAAATGGACTCTTATACAGTAAAAGTCCTGCATCGATACTTAAGTAAAAGTACATTTAAGTATTATTATTATTATTATTATTATTATTATTATAATAGTATTAAAAATACTCATAATGGATAAAAATGGCCGTTATAAGGATTATTACTGATGCCATTAACATGTAAGCAGCATTTTACTAGTTGGAGGTGAAGCTAATTTTAACTATATACACTGTTGATCTTACAAGCTCCTTCTATGTAGTGGAGTAGAAGTATTAGGTTCCTCAGATTTACACTTAAAAACAGTACTTTAGTTACAATCCATCACAAAAGAAAAATATTAAAAATGTTTTTACAACACTTTTACTTTTATTCTATTTACTACTTTTTTAATATCATTGTAAAGTATCTTTGAATTTTTGAGTGCTCATCAGACAAAACAAGCAATTTCAAGAGAAATCGTGATGGACCTTTTCACTATTCACTGACACTAATTGACTAGACCAAATTAACAAATTGCGAAGCCAATTATCTCAGTTAAAATGTCTATAAATATAATTTTCTACTGACCAATACACTTATAGATGTATATCTTACCTGTCAATTAACTCTGCCTAGTACCTGGCTTGCCTTGCATGAGCGCTGTCGGTGTGCTGTATCATCTCCACCCTGTGTACTGTGCTCTGGCCTGTTGTCGCCCTGAGATGTGAAGTAAATAATTGAATGGATCCATTAATAAATAAAGTGCAGGGGGAGAGAGGAAGAGGAGGGAGGGAGAGGAGAGATGGGAGAGACAGGTCACTCATCTTTACAATCACCGTGCGGGGAG